TTCCGTAAGAGGATTCCAACTGTCATCCCTTTCTTCCTAAATTAGTCTGTTACCTGTCAAACTAGACAGGCATGCTTACTTCAGTGCCCCTCCCTGCTCTTTCTCCTTCAGGGCTTCCCTAGAACAGCTCACAGTCACCATAATCTTCTATTTCTTCTCCTTTTCCTGTTTTTGAAATAAAGGGGCCATGGGAGACCTTCAGGAGAAGTTCCAGACTTAAAATCCTGAGCAGAGAGATGCACATCCTGGCAATGCTAAGGCAGGTGCCTACCCCCTAAGCCTAAATGCAGACTTTCCTTGTTGGCTGATTTTGCAGATCCTGCTCTGCGGTGCCTAATTCTACCTATGCGTTGTACACAGAAGTTTAGACACCAGGGCTCTGAAATCCAACACCATAGCCAATTGCTTAGATGAGGGTCAGCAACTTATGGCCCACTGGCCAGATCTACAGCCACTAGTTCCAGTTTGGGGCATACAGCAGCATTTGGTGGCAGGGGGCTTCATATGCACGAAGCTGTATCCAGTGGCTCTAGATCTGGCCAGTGGGCCATAAGTTGCTGACCCCTCACCTAAGCAGTTGGCTATAGTGTTGGATTTCAGAGCCCTGGTGACTAAACTTTTTTGTACAATGCAGTGTACAACTTTACTGTACCATGCCAGAGCCAGGCAGCACAGAGAAGCTCTGGTAGTGGCAAGGTCCTAGTGTGGGCCTGCTTTGGACTTGGCCCACTGCCAGAAAAACATTGCCAACCCCTGGCTTAGATCCTTTTTTTGAATCTGGGCCAAATCTGAGGACTAGCACTAAAATAGAGAGGCAGTTTATTTCTTGAACTTTGTGTTCCTTTGGAGATCAGTATTTTAAAATGCAAAGGCAAGGAGAGATGGGTAAAGGTATCCTCATGCATGGGTAACCTTATTTCAAGCTTCTCTTTTCCCTTAAAACATGCACAGAAAAGGAACTCACAGGGGAAATGAAGCAGATTCCAAGCTGCAGTAGCTCTCTAGAAGCTAAGCCTGGGATGGCTTCAGAGGGTACTTAGAGAGACTATAAAAGGCTGGGAGTCCCAAGCAATACTGCTCTGTGGGAAGACTTTAACAAAAAGCAATTAAAAAAAAAAGCTCATCAAACAAAACCCAAAGATTACCAAGGCAGTTCAGTAATGCCCTCGCTATGGTTTTCAGTATATTCTTTATATCTTTACCCATGCACATGCACACACACACACACTTTTCACACAAAAAAATCAAGTTTTAAAGGAAATTCTAAGGGAGTTGGAAAGCCAAGAACTTAAAAGTTAGAAAAAGACACACCTAAACTGCTTATGCAACCTTAATTCAGGCCCCGTGTGCTTATGCTTTAAGAGACAGTCTTTAATTAGATAATGCCACACAATTTGTCTCACAGGACCCCTGTTTCACCCAGTGCAGAGTGAATGGTGCACTCTTAAGGTGATGCTGTTCAATATTCTATTTTGTCCCCATTGTTCAATGGATATCTTTATTTCTTATTCATTACACATTGTGACCTTGTTCTAAAGACAGAATTGTTAATTTCCTCATGGGCTTTCCTACAGCATTTATCATTGTAATATTTGAGTGTGCCACAAATATTAATGAATATGTACACCTCTAAGAGAGGAAAGGGTAATATTATCTACCCCTTTTATAGCTGGGGAACAGAGGTACAGAGCAATTAATATCAGAAGTATCCATTAACTTTGACCACAATTTGTGATGCCTAGGACCTGGGTTTTCAATTGTTTAGCAGCACACAGCATTTTATATGTTCAAGACACAGCTGCCATCATTTTGGTTGCAGTTGTTTGTCCTTAGCAATTTTGAAAATCAGACTCTAGTGGTTTAAAGTCAGACACCCAGGAAGGTGAAATATGCAATCTGACCATTTATGAAAGTTTAGTTGAAACTGATTTTACTTAGTATAGCACAGGTATGGAATTCAGTGCTTGGGCAGTGCATTAAGCCATCCATACCAGGTCCTGTTTCTGCCCAAAGCTGCCCCTCCATCTACTGCATACCTCCATCCACAGCCCAAATCCACCACCACACAGCTCAATCTTTCCCAATTCTGGGTGCTTTCCCATATGCAGTTCCACAGCCCTCCTATCTCCCCACCCCAATGTACAGTCTCTTAGCATACCACCTTCTTGCTAGGCATACTACAAAGACACCCAAGCTAGTTCTGGAAAGGGAGGCAGAACCAGAATTATTAACTCCACCTCTTATCAACAGGCTTTGGGACAGCTGTGCCCAAGGCCATCCCAGGGTGGAATGATTTGGGGCAACAACCTCAGGCCTCGCGCTTTGGGGGGCCCCATGGAGCCAGGCAGAGCAGTCACGGCAACTCCATGCTGCTACCAGCTTCATGTCCAGCTGTTCAGCACCCCCGCCCCGCTGAATCCACTGCTGGCTTCCTCACACCCAGGGCCTGGGCCCTGCACAGGCTGATTTTCCCCGGGCCCACACCCTGCTCAGGCCATCTCTGGCTGCACCAGTCAGCCCACCTGAAGCACCATGATAAGACAGGTCTAGTGCTCTCTATTTGGGAGGTAGTGCACATGCAGTGTAACTCAGCATAGCACTGCTTGGCTTTATAATAACAGTTTCAAGGATCAATTGACTCTGCCCCAACTTGCCCTTGTTTCCATCTATAGTTTCTCTATGGGCCTACTGGTTGAAAACAACTGCTTTCATTGGAAGAGACTCACAGTTCTGGTTCCACACACAACTAACCCCTTCTTTTCCCATGTACAAGCTAGTCAGGGAAACTAAGGTATACAATATAATCATAATTTAATTATGATTAAACCAAACATTGTACAACAAAACTGCAGCCTGTCAAACAGTCAGCTGGCCCAATAAATTCATGTTCCCCTACCCCACTGTCTTTTAGTCCCAATCTAACTTTTAAGGGTCTTCATCCAATATCAGTATCTTGGGCCACCAAGCTCTGTGTCCTAGTCTCTTTCTCCAGTTAGTGTCAGTTTTCATCTCAAACACAGCTTCCTCATTCATTACATCTCCATATTCTTTCACCTTCTCCTCACCAACCACAAGTTCTCTGTTCCAGGGTCCAGCCAGGTCTTCATCCAATCCCAGTCTCACTTGTCTTCCAGCCCTTCCCAACTTTTTCCTACCCACTTCCTTCCCCATTGACAGCTTCCAGCCCTCCAGGTCTCATCCCTTTTACATTAGTCAACACAGTTCTCACCTTCATCCTGTGGGGGGTACAGCCCTGGGGTTACTGGTAGTTCAGGGGAGACACTTTTTCTGTTTTCAGTTTGGGTGCCTGGACCTAAACCTTGACCCACTGTTGTATGCAACAGTCCTAAGGAGCAATTTCAAGAAAAGTTATCTAGCTTTTCCTAACCCCAATTATAGGATCTGGCTAAAATTTTCCAAGAAATAATCTATGCAAAGGATATTTCAGTTCCAACAGTTATAATTTCGTAAAGATAACTTTTGCCAACTAAAAATAGAATCTTTTAATGGGAGGTGTGAACTTCTCATTAAATTTTATAATAGTGCCATCAGCTCCTCTGATAATTTACATATTTATTTATTGTTAATTACTATACACACTACCCATAAACAGGACTCTCTCTTTGCCATAGGAGCACTGTGATACATTTTAAATATATATGCACAAACTACATCATGGATGTGCTTCCTTCATCAACTGCTAACAGAAATCATAAAACATCTGCTAAGGAATCCCTATACTCCTGCCCATTTTCTCTGAGTTTGGATAAAAGAATACATCTTGCAGAAGGTCTTTGTGGTTGACAATTAAGGATAACTTTAGCTCAGAAATGGGACTAAATTCTAATCCTAAAGGGCTTTCATGGGAATGCTATTTTCTCTCTGCCCTCTTCCTGGAAAGCCACCTTATCTTAGAGTGGCCTTATCAGAAAATGGCTTGTATGAAAATGACAGGTAGCAACAGAAAGATGAGTGCAGCAGACCTGTCGTCATGGTTACACTAGTTGTTGGTGGCTGAGATGGAGCTGTTAGGAGTGAGATTGTAGGGGGCATCAGAGACATGAGGATATGTGAGTGTACAGAAAACTGAAGAACCAACAGAACACCAAGAGCAGAGAAAAGAAAATGAGGAAATGTGCTGAAAGTAAAGAACTTTTTGGCTAGGAAAATGAGAAAGAAAGACATACAAAAATCAACTTATCTTTTCCTAACCGTAGCAGTATTTCCATTGATATTTCCATCAGCTTCCTGGAAAACCTTGTTAGCCTGCCTCTCAGGTATGTGTGACTGCATCTTTGAGAATAAGGATCCTGCAGCAGCTAATGGAAGGTTGTTCCATGAACACCTTTATCCGATATCCACCCATAGTCACGCCTGACCAACCAGTTTGAGAATATCTGGTTCTTCTGGAGCTTTGGCATCTTTGCTATGTCCTGCCATCGTCTTTAGAATTTTCCAGGATTCCCATTATCTTCTCACTGTTCATCCTGGTGGCCATCCACAGAGTTGTTCTAACCTACACAAACCTTTGAAAGTTTTAGCCTTGTACCTCACAACTAGGTGGTGAAAATGTGGCATCAAAAATGGTGATGGGCCCAAACAGAAAAATAGCATTTTATTTTGGCTCTGCTTCTAGTATACTGTTAACCTATTGGTTCAAAGTCACTAAGGTCACTGAAATCTTGAAATATTGCTTTTATGCCTTACAGTATGATGGCACACATTTCTTAAATTAGAAATTCTCTAACATAAATCCATACTGCTTTTTGTCCATAACTTCTGAAAAGCTATGAAGCTTTTCACAGACATAATCCATATAGGTAAATAGATCATGCACACAGTTACAGATAATTTAGCTTACACTACCTGCTGCCAAGGTTAACAGATGAAATGGGAAAAACATGAAACAATGCCTTATAAATTAAAAAACAAAAGTATTCTCACTAGTCATTCTGGATTCGAGTGCATCAGGAAAAAAATGTAAGGTCTTGGAAGCTTACTTTCACTAGCTGAATAGTCCTGTGGATCAAGTATTCCTGATTCCTGCAGTGATCTAATACAGGAATCCACCAGCTCAAGACCAGTTGTGAGCTCATCTTCAATGTCCTTCTGACCATCTGCAATTTAAAAAATGAACCAAACAAATCCTGAAATTTGTTTAAGGAATTTAAAGGGAAAACAAAATAATTATAATAAAAATCCGTATAAAATTGGAACTATCTAAATTCATAGCTAGTCAAGGAACTGTATAAATTATAGCAGTGGTATTCAGCCTCTGGTCTGTATATTCCAGTTTGCAGAATTTCCCAAGGGTCCAGAAATTTTGTGGTGGGGGAGCAGTGGCAGTGTTAATTGCCATACCTTCTATAGCTGGAGCAATTAAGCAATTATGACTTCCCGACTGCCAAATTTCCAAACCCTTGGGGAACTCTGCAGGCTGGATGGCATGGCCCTGTGTGTTGAATTGCATAGGCATGCCTCATCCATCTGTGGCTGGATCTGGTGTGCAAGGTAAATCCGCAACTGGCCATGCTATGCATTGGATCGCACATGCGGATCCACCCAGCCCACCGAGTCCATGCTGGACCTAGCCAATGGTTCAACCCTGGCGACAAGATCTGGCCCGTGGACCAACCCCATGCCACTCCTCTGGTCCGTGGGCAGGAAAGCTGAGCAGTACTTATATATAGGGTCAGATTTTCAAAGAAGGCTGGATTATATGGCCTAGAAAAATGCACATGTAGTCATTCTACTTTAAAAATATGACCGCTGGTGTTTATAAGCAAATGGAGAATGCTTTTGTTCAATTCATAAACAATTATGGGGTGGGGTGGGTCTTCACGCTGTTTACAATGACTAGCACTATATGCTACATTCTCCTAAGCATGAGTGAGTATCAATTATTGCCACTTCTCTAGAAGGATACTGAACACTGTTAATGACTAAGGAATTTTAACGACAATTAATGTATACCCCCTACCCTTCTCCATAATTTTTCTCACTTTGTCTAGAGAACACAGTCCTTAGTGTGAAAGTAAATATACGGATATGATCCAAACAAGTACTTTACCTTGCGTTTGCCAATGAAACTGCTCTTCTGTAGAACTGTAAATAAATAAATAATGAATTAGAAAGGTCTTGGGTAAACTTTTAAAAATAACATTTGAGAAAAATCAGTACAAGACTATTATTCAGATGTAAACCCACTCACCATGATGAAACTCATTCAACAATACCAAACAATAACATGTTTAAACTATGATTTAAAGGTAAAAGTGTGTTGATTTTTTTGAATTATTTTGGGCAGTATTAAAATTAGGAAACAGCCCAAGATTTCTCTTGGAAAAGAAGAGTTATATATCACCTCCTCAAAAATCAACTGTATTTTCTCAAATACCACACTCAGCTCTCCCGCAAATGAGCCCTTGAAAATTGGGGTGCAGATTTTTCTTCACTGGAATAGAAGCAGGGTGCAATAGAGGAAACAGACACTGTGACTCATGACTACTGAGATGGCTGTTTCTCCCAGAGGCTATAAACAGCCGAGGTTAATCCTCTCATAGCCACTGACTGTTAAGGCAGTAGCTACGGGCTGAAGAGCCAATGAGCTGGCTGAAAGTAAGTGAGCTGCCACATGTAATCTGTAATATCTTGATGAGACTTGTGGTGTGGAAGCAACACTTGCTTACAGGAATTTATATAAATTAGTATATACAATAAAGAAGCAAGACTTTTACTGTTTCCCTTGCAAGGGTGTGGAGCCTACCTTTGTTAGTGTCCTGTCATACCAGAAAGTTTCTGCTGCTTCATGCACACTGTCTCCTGAGTTGCCGCACTTCCTGGACCCTATGGTCATGCGCGTGGACGTTTGGTTCCGAGGGGACAACTAGAAGTGGCACACCTTGTGTTACCACTAGTTGTCCCTGGGGAATGCCCCTGCCACGTGGGCTCTGGTGTGCAGCAAGTTACCCCACGTGGGGTAAGGGAGGCTGGGGCCAGCACTGGGTTGGCCCCAGCAGCCTTACCAGGGGTTCTGGGGGCCTCCTGGCGCTACAACAGCAGTGACCCCGCCATGCGGAGCCTGGCTGTGAGTTTTTATCCTGTGAGATATCCAGGAGTCAAGGAAACTCTCTGCACTGGTCCCTTACAGTGCGGAGAACTGAGCATGCAGTCTATGGTGCCACAGATATGTCTGCGGTGCCACATACCACACAGCTGCACTCATCTGGATGCAGCCTATTTTTCAGGAGGACTTACTCTATGTGCAGCGATTGGCCATGACTCTGGAAAATCCTTTTTTGCTACATTGTGCTGTCAAAAACAGTGTGTTTTTTATTTGGGGGCATGTGGTATTCAAGGCCATATGTAGATGAAATGAGGGGCATGTTTGCACGACACTTTAAAGTGGGCTAAATGCTTTTGCACTGCTTTAATGGTGTCAGTGTTTGCACAGCTCAGTGGCGTATTGTGCATTAATTCTGGCCGCTCTAGGAAATTTGGCGCCGTAATGCACTGTAAATGACTTTGGGTGCAGCAAACTAAAACTCCTTCAAGGAGTTTTAGTTTGTTGCCTCTACAGTCATGGAGTGAAGCACCAGACTCTGTGCAGCTTCACGGCTCTGCAGAAAGCCCTGCAGGCTGCTTGACAGCATCCCAGGAAAGCGGCGAGCCTGAATTTTTTTTTTCCTCCCCTGGAGCCTGCCTGCCTGCCTGAGCTGCGCAGGAGCCTGGTGCTTCCCTCCACAGCTGCGGTGCCCACCCTGGGACCACCCAAGGTGGGTGCCTGTAGGTGGGTGTCACCTGGTGGGCTCTGCAGCTGCTGCAGAGGGATGCACCAGCCCCCCCTGCAGCCCAGGGACCACTCTGCCCGCTGGCAGCTTGCCCTGACCTGCCTCTCTTGTAGGGAAGGGAGTAAGAAGGGTGTGTGCATGACACAGGAGTTTAATCAGCCCTAAATTGAAGGGTGATTTTTAAAACCCACCACTTTAATTTAGGGCCCCTGTTTCATCTACACACACCCAAGAAAATAAGATGGCTTTAATTAATATAACCCAGGCTCTGCATTTATGCATGTGGTGACTTTACTTGGATATGTAGTTGCAGTGAATTCAAGTTAATCACATGCATAAGTGTTTGTGGTATGGAAGCCAAAGAAGGTAGCATTTTCTAGTGTTAAGATAATTTTAAAAATTATATAATTATCTTTCCTTACATGACAGCAATATGCTAATATATGGATCACACTAGATGCATTTACCATCTTTCAGATGACACAAGGATGATGGAAATGCATGGGCAGATGTAATAGTTAGGATAGGACAGGTATATTTTCTTCCATGGAGAAAATATGGTCAGTGAATTGAGTAGAATTACATACAGAAAGTATACTTCACTCCTATGCATGTTTTTCTTGTCTCCCTACCCACACTTCCTTTGTATGTCAGAAAAGCTCACAGTTACTCAGTGGCTTGCATCATTTTGATGATGATAATTACATAGAGATTTATCTACTGTAGTCATAATTAAAACCCCTTCTTGTGCATTTTTACACATTGGTAGGATATTACAACCTCATAAATGGGGAATACTGATGAAAATATTATCATTTGTATGTCCCAGGAAAATGAAAGAACACTTTTTAACTGTGGCTACTACAAATCTTTTTTTTCCATCCATACAAGTTGCAAATAAAAGTTCTCTTTAATAAGCAATGGATTGTAGATCTTCAGCCATTTTTCCAGTGCACAAAGATGCTGTGTAATTTATGAATACCATGGATACAGTTCCCTGCTGCCAGAGCTGGGGCCAAGAGCTTCCTGCATGGTGAGCGTTTCTTGCTCAACCTGGAGCTGGCTGGGAACTGCTCCAGACTGGCACAATTACCGGCCAGCTCTGGGCTGCACACGGAAGTCTGCACATGCTGCCTGGAGCTGGCTGGGAGTTCCCCAAAATGGGACAGTTCCCAGCCAGCCCCAGGCTGCACATACAGTATTCCCCATGCAGCTCAGGGCTGGTCGGGAACTGTCCTGGTCTGGGGCAGATCCCAGTCCCACAGGTCTTTTCCAGCCCCATTACCTGATCAGTCAAAGCACAGAGCTTGGAAAGAGCTGCAGAGCAGGGGCAGGTCTCAACCCCCTGCCCCACTAGTGGATCAAGACAGAGAGCTGGGACCTGCCCCTCCCCTGCAGCTCTTTCCAAGCCCCTGTCCCCAGTCAGGAAGCTGGGGCTAGGAGCTCCCTGCTGCTGGGGCACAGGGACATTATCTCTGTTTGGGCTCTACCACTGGAGCCTGCCCCAGCAGTAGGCAGCTCCCAGGGGCAGAGAGCAATCTCCCAGCCCCCACCAGGAGACAGCTGTCTCCTAGCCCCATGCTCCCTGCTAGCCCCTGAGCTGACAGCCAGGGGGAGCCTAGAGCTCCCCCTGGCTGCTTCAGGGGGTCAGAGCAGGGTGGGAACAGCCTTCTCCAGGCTGCTCCCAAATGCCCACTCATGGAGACATCTACCCAGAGTGGGTTTACTCTGCAGTAAATTACTGCAGAGTAAACATAAATTACTGTAGAGTAAACCCATCCATCATCATTTGCATGCGTAGAAGCGGCCACTGAAAGCAAACACAACTGAAGAAGCTGGTACTAATTTGTGTAATACAAAAAAAAATATTAAAAAAATCCTGCATTAATCCAAAATGGGAGGTCAAAACAAGTTGAAGGACAGTGAGAAGTTTTCAATATGTTGATTTTTCAGGTATATGTTGGTTTCTCTTTATTCATGCTGGCATGTTCATAGGTCATGTAGCAGACTTAATTTCTAATTAATTTCTTAATTACTATTTCTAATCCCAATGGCATAATTTGATTCAATCTATGCATCATTGCATGAAAAGATATATTATAATCTTAAAAATATAGAACCAACTCTTCCCAGTTAAGGAAGGTGCTGTTTAGCTTTTACTTATTACCTCTCAATTCATAATGTATTATGGGCCATGAAATTTATCCTGTTCATACAAAAAGCTGCATATGAGGTTATCATGGCAAATCTGATTAGATTTCAAATAAAAACTTTTTAAGTGGTTTATCTATAGCACCACTTAAAGAGTACAACCAGGCATCCTGACTTCCCTTATTTAGTCACTTAAAAATATTTTAGAGGATGAGTTTTGCTGCTCTCATGCATGAAGACATCTTTTTAGCCAAGAACAAACTGAAAAGCCAACTGACCTAGGTGCTGACCCTACAACGGGTTTCACAAGTGCAATTGGCTGCTCAAGTGGATCTAAATACAGGATCAGGTCTTACTAATCCAACAGAAAAGCCATGAAACTGGGTACACACAAAGTGCCAGCAGATACACAAACTGAACAAACCAAAAGATTTTTTCTCCCTGCTTTTTCCAGTTAGTCATCTTTTATATAGTCTGTAATTAGAGCAGGTCCAACGTTTCAGGGAGAAATATGGTTTTCAACTTGACAGTTTCCTTTTAAATATGCAACAAACCAGATTTATTTGCCTCCCATTTTCAGTTATCATTATGTATATTATATCTGTGCCTGACTTCTCAAGGAGCCAGGTTCCATCAACTTTACTGAATGAAGAAGTTGAGGGTGCTGAACACGCTGATAAAGGCATTCAGTACTATGAAGAATTATACTCAATGTACACAGAGAAGCAGAAGATGAATATATTAAGAGAGAGACAAAAAAGATTCCCAGCCAAAATTAAATGAGAACTGTAGAAGAAAACATATCGGTATAATATATTTTTAAATGAGCTTGTTACTCAGACAGGTATAAAAATGACCTCCTATAATCCAGGACAGAAGAATAATTATGATTCATTTGCTATAACCTTGTGCCACTGCTATTCATTTAATCATCTCTCTACTTTAAATGTTCCATTACAAATAAGACAGCCAATCTGCTTCATTGTATTAGCATGACATTGAATGAAAAATGTCATGCTAATACATTTTCTCTACACAGCAATATGACTTGTGTGTATATATGTGTGCGCGTATGTTTCTGTTATTCAGTCTCTGAAAGTCAGACCATGATACAAGAGTTATAGGACTAACATAGCCTCCTAAGCATCAAGTCCAATCCCCTCT